GCTCTGCGCCAGCCTGGGAGGCACCGTGTCAGAGCGGCACCTGTGGGTCCCGGGGGCCTGGACTGCCTAGGCCCGGCCTGTGCCACCCACAGCCGCTGGGCGGCGGGTGGGGGAGGGGTCCGTGCAGTTAGTTCAGAGCAGCCGGGCACGGCCTGGCACGGGTGGCTGGGCAGTTGGCTGGAGGTAATCCCCACCTCCCTGCCCCCATCCCAGGGTCACACCTGCCTGGCCGGTGTGAGATCCCAGGGAGTGGGCTCCAACTTCCTACAGAGAAAGTGGCCTCCCTCGGGGGGAGGCTCTCCCGGTGAGGGCTCCCCTTTCCCACCCACATGCCCTGGAGCCGCCCGCACGCCATGGGCTGGAGTGCTGGGAGGCAGGGAGGAGTTACCTCTTCTTCTTCCTGATGTACAGGACCTGCAAGAGAAGGGGGCCCTGATTAGCAGCGGCCTCGGGGCAGGGGACATGCTGAGGCTGGCGAACGGGAGACCATGGGTCCCCAAGTCCTCAGGGCCCCACCCCAGGACACACGCCTCCTGCACGTGTGTCTCCCTTTGAGGTGCGCGAGAGGCCGACATGCCCTGGAGGAGCAGTGCGGGCAAAGGTGGGCTCGACTGGTCTTCCCAGGCGGCTGGTAGGCCCACCGCTGCCCACACTGCCCGCGGCTCCAGGCACTGGGCGCCTGCCTGGGACTCCTCAGGGCTGAAGGGGGAGGGCATCACTTCAGCACACCCCTCCTCCCACTTCTTCCAGGCCCAGTGAGCGAAGAGGACAGGAGACAGGCCCAGTCGGCATGGCTCAGGGGTTGAGCATTGACCTATGAACCAGGAGGTCACGGTTCAATTCCTGGTCAGGGCACATGCCCAGGTTGCTGGCTCGATCCCCAGTGCGGGGCGTGCAGGAGGCAGCCAACCAATGACTCTCTCATCACTGATGTTTCTATCTATCTCTCTTCCTTCCTCTCTGAAATGAATAAAAACATGTTAAAAAAACAAACCTCACTGTCCAGCAGCAGCCCCCCTCCTCCAGGAAGCCCTCCAGTGGGACACAGCCTGGCTCTGACCCGTTCCTCCTTGCACCCAGCATGGCAGGGCTGAGGCTGGCATGAGGGAGAGGAAGCAGTGCTCAGGGAACATCTATGGGCCTGTCTCCTGGTGCCCAGGAGCGGTGTCCTGCCCTCCATGCCTCTGCCCGTAACCCCCCCACCCCTCGGCTTTGGCAAGAAGGCTGTCCCCCTGGCCCTGCGATGTTCCTCCAGGACCCAGGGTGAGGGACTTCTCCCAAGGTCCTGGGATAACAATCTTCTGTGGAAAATTACAAGGGCAGGTTCTAGGTCCTGCTTGGCCCCTGAAGCTGGGGTGTCTCCGGCTGTTTAACCGCATGTGGGTGCCAAGGGGAAGCGCTGGCGCTCTGCCCTGCCCGCCCCGAGACACTGCTCAGTCCGCCTCGCTCTGGGTGTCACGTCCGGCCCTCTTGCTGGCCGGCACTCACTCCCTGGCTGTGATCCAGGGCCCGTGGGGCCATATGGCAACCTGGCCACGGACGGACCATCCACAGCCTGCGTGTCAGAGCAACGTCCTGAGCTGAGGCCACCGGAGCCTGTGAGGGGCGTGGGCAGGAGCCACCGCTGCCAGGCCACTGGGGGACCTCAGGGGACCCGCCCTGCCTGGCCTCAGCCTGCACAATCTCCAGTGATCCCTCAGGACGCTCCGAGAGTCCCTGTATCGTCTCAGAGGAAAAGCTCAGACCTTCGCCGCCCTAGCTGGTGTGGCTCAGGGGATAGAGCGTCGGCCTGCGGACCGAAGGGTCCTGGGTTCGATTCCGGTCAAGGGCAGGTACCTAGTTGCAGGTTCCTCCCCAGCCCGGGCCCTGGTCGGGGCTCATGCGGAAGGCAACCAATCGATGTGTTTCTCTCATGTTGATGTTGTTCTCTGTCTCTCCCTCTCTCTTCCACTCTCTCTAAAAGTCAGTGGAAAAATATCCTCGGGGGAGGGTTAAACAAAAAAAAAAAAGAAAAGCTCAGATCTCCAGGTGCAGACGCCAGCACTGGCAGCACCCTGTGCACCAGCGGGGACTCTGCAGCGGCCCCCCGCCCCCCAGCAGCCTCCATCCTCATGTCTGCCCCTCTGCCTTTCCCGTGACGCGGGCCAGGCTCCGCCCCGAGGTAGCCTCCTCGGTTGTCCTGACCACCAGCCTGGAAAGGCGCCCCCCATCCCCCAGCCCAGTCCCTGTGCGCTTCCCTGGTGCCTCCACTTCACGTCTTCCACTCCCTGTAAGAGCCAGGGCAGGACCCTGTCTCCCTGCTCCGTGGGGTGCTGACGGCTGATCCAGGGCAGGTGCCAGTGGATGAATGAATGAACACGCCCGGGGCCTGCGTTCGCAGAGCCTCCGCCCAGACTCTGAGACTCCTGTAGCCCCCACCCTCATCGGCCGCCTGGGCTGCTCGCTGCTCACAGAACCTTCCGCAAAAAAAAAAAAAGAAAAGCTCAGATCTCCAGGTGCAGACGCCAGCACTGGCAGCACCCTGTGCACCAGCGGGGACTCTGCAGCGGCCCCCCGCCCCCCAGCAGCCTCCATCCTCATGTCTGCCCCTCTGCCTTTCCCGTGACGCGGGCCAGGCTCCGCCCCGAGGTGGCCTCCTCGGTTGTCCTGACCACCCAGCCTGGAAAGGCGCCCCCCAATCCCCAAACCCAGTCCCTGTGCGCTTCCCTGGTGCCTCCGCTTCACGTCTTCTACTCCCTGTAAGAACCAGGGCAGGACCCTGTCTCCCTGCTCCGTGGGGTGCTGACGGCTGATCCAGGGCAGGTGCCAGTGGATGAATGAATGAACACGCCCGGGGCCTGCGTTCGCAGAGCCTCCGCCCAGACTCTGAGACTCCTGTAGCCCCCACCCTCATCGGCCGCCTGGGCTGCTCGCTGCTCACAGAACCTTCCGCCTCCAAACTCTGACCCCAGGAACCTCCACCCGGAAAACACCCAGCTCAAAGCACCATGCGTTTCTCAGACCTCCGGTTCTTCCGCTTGGAGGCGGCCTCTCTGGTCCCTGGGCCCCAGTGGACAGGTGCCCGGGGAAGGGGAGGACTGCATGATCGTGAACAGACAACTGTCTTCGATCAGATTCTCTACCATCCGAACCTGACCCCTCCTCCAACGGAAGGTCACGAGACAGCCCAGCCGCCCCGGCTCTCACCATGGCCACGGCCAGGCCGATCACCGTGATGATCCCAAAGGACAGGAGCATCGTGCCCACGCCGGCTGCGCCGCTGCCCACACCAGGCACCCTGGTGTCGTTAAAGCTGGTGGCTTCTGGGCCGAGGGCGGTGGGCTCGGAGGCGGGCCCATCCGTGGCGGGCTCCAGGTTAGGCTCAGAGGTGGGCGGGCGGGTGCTGAGCCAGTCCCTGGCCGACAGGAGCCTGGAATTCATGCTGACGCCGAGACTGCCTGTGGCCACTCCCTTCTGACATCAGGAGTGTCCCAGCCTGTGGCCCGGCTACGCATGCAGGCGGCCACCTCCTTGCATTAGGGGCCTCCCTGCTTCCCTGGATGCTGGAAAGGAAAGAGTAAAAAACATGAGGCTGAGGATGGGACTCGGTGGTGAGAGGAAGCCCCCTAAGTTCTGAAGGCACCGGGGAAATGCAGGTTGGAGGACAAGGCCAAGTTCAGGGGACATCGGGACACGTGCTTTATATAGCTGCAGCTCCCATGGGGCTTGAGGACGTGGCGACAAAGCCTTGCCCCTCTTTGTGGGGGAGATGGCCATGCGGAGCGCACTCTCACTCGGAAGCATTGTAGGTAGCAGGTAGCAGGAGGTTTGAAGAGAAAGTGTCTCCCCTGTATAATACCCTCCCTCCCCCTCCCTCCTCTCTCCCGTCCCCTCCCTCTTCATCTCCTGCTTTGAGAAAGAAACACTGAAGTTTTTTCCTTTTCTGGAGGAAACACTTGCCCAAGGGCCAGACAGGCCTGGCTTTGAATTCCAGCTCAGCCACTTGACCGGAACATCCCAGGCAAGTCACCACCTGTGTCTGTTTCTGAACCTACGATGTGCCTTCTCCTTCCCTCCCCCCTCCCTCCCAGGGCCAGAGGGTCATGGAAATGCCAGAGTGAACCAGTCCCTGGAGAGGACGGAGCTCAGCACCCAGTCAATGTCAGACCTTCCCTCTGGCCAACAGGGAAGTCACAGAAGCCCCCGGACCCAGCTCACGGTGTGGCCCAGGCTGTGTGTGGAGTGGGGGTGGGGACAGGTACAGGGAGACCAGGAGGCAGGAGGGAAAGAAGCTACAGTCAGGCCCTCTGGCAGGCTCTTAGGGTCACTGACCCCCTGTAGGGGAGCTAGTGGCTGCCAGGGACAAGGAGAAAGGCCAGGGAGCGCACCTTCCGAGCACGGATGGAGCTTTCGCTCCGAGGTGCCTTCTCCTCCCCTTCCCTCTCCCTTGGGACCAGAGGGTGGGCGAGGTGCCAGCCCAGGATGGGGCTGAGGCCTTCCCAGGCCAGGGGGGGCCCTGGGTAAGGCAGGGTGGGAAGGGGTCCCAGCCAGGCTGGGGAGAAGAGGGGTGCACAGTACACAGCTGCACACAGACCCCCGTGCTTGCTCCTGGCTCTACTGGGTGCCTCCCCCCGGGCAGGCGATGGGTGTGTGTGAGGTTTGCACACACCAGTGCTGGTCCCTTAGGAAGGGGCACGGCTGGCAGACGGACATAGAGTGGGAGAGGCTCGCTCCTCTCACGCCCTGCCCTCTCCCTCCATCGAGGCTGGGCAGGTCAGGAGCCCCAGGTCCTTTCCTGGCTCTGCCATTGACCCCAGGAGTGACCTTGGGCCAGACCCTTAACCCTGACTCTGGGGCTCATTTACTCCTGTGTCCAAAGGAGAGAAAAGGCCTTGCTCACCACTGTTGGGGACTAAAGGGCACGAGAAGCCGGGATGAAAGGGGTCGCGACCTCCGAGAACCGCATTCCGCTCTCCCCCACGGTCCTCAGTCCTCCCTGACCCAGTGCCCATCCCGCCTCCGCCATCCGTGATCCCTCCGTTCCTGCTGAGGCGGCGGCCTCAGCGCTTACCTAATCCTCTCCGGGACGCGCAGCTCAGCCTCTCGGAGAGCCTAGGGGTGGTGGCCACAGGCAGGAGGACCGGGCGGGGGAACCCCCGGGCCTGGGGTGACTGGCGGCG